AAGTTAGTCGCCAAACACATCGATAGAAAAGAAAACATATAAATCAACGAAAAATTTGCAAACTAGAAAAAGGAATGATTTATTTATTCATATATGAGAAGATAAATTAATCACAATTAACTTTTCTTTTTTGGTGGCAGGAGAGAATGATGGTGAATGGTGTGAATGGATTGCCTTCAACTCCTCCAACATCATTATTACTATATCGTGACTATAATGTTATTATTATCATTATGATTTTTGTTGTCAATGTTATTATTATTATTATTGTTAATGATAATGATAATAATAATAATAATAATGATAATGGTAGAAATAATGTTAGCGACGATGTCACCATCATTATTATCGCTACTATTACGTAGTCGTCACTATCACCTCTTCATCACAATTGTTGTTATTACTATATTATCATCATCGTCGACAATAGTAATAATAGTCATAAAGGTGATAGTAGTAATAATTTTATAAGAGAAACTTTATAATTGAGTTTTAATCTCAAATATTAATTATTTTTATCCGTATAATTTAAAAGATATATATTATTTAGCCTTCTAGTATCATAATAAAAGATGTTTTCATTGTATACGATTATATATATATTTCAATCACAAATGATTCTAATGATTAGACTATGATTAGGGATATGATTTATTTTCATCCCTATTTGGTATAAAATTTTGATAGGATCATTTGTTTGAATTTGATCTAATCTAAATCTAGACTTAAAATATGCGGCATGATATTGAATCAATCTAGCATTTTAACATGAGATTAACTTTATATGAAGTGAAATTGTTAAATAAAATATAAGTTATAAATTAAGATATATGTTATTAAAATTATATTTTAAAATAAATAATAGCATTATATAAAAACTCTAAAAAATAGTCACTATGTAACATTGTACGACTTGGTTAATTATTGTATTTTCTCAATAATTATGTAGTGTGTATTGATTTTGGAGTAGTTGCTCAAGAACTCTCGGAGTTAATGAACTTCTAAAGAGTTTTCTCAATAATTATATAAGGTTTATTTTTAGAATTGAACTTCATAAATTCAATTCTTAAGAATTTTAGAGAGATAAATTAGAGAGAAGGACTCTAGAGCTCTAATCTTTTTCTTCTTTATAGGCCCCGAGTGCGTGAGGATAGTTGTTGAGTGGTGAATAGAGGTCCTTGGTTGAAGATCTTCAATGTAGAGGAGCGGTGTGGAGCTTCTTGTTGCTTAGAGTTCAACTTTTGCTTTTTCTTCCTTGGTTCTCTACAAATTCAAGGAAAGGGAAACTAAAACCTTGCATGTATTGGATTGTATAATTTGTATGTTTTTTTTTATTATTATTATCAAAATATGATTGTATAGGTTTAATTTGGATTGAATGGTGAAAGGAATGAGTTTTGGTGTTTTGAGCTATGAAGGTGATTCTTAAAGATTTATCCAAAATGTTGCATGTTGAATCTGAGTATGAATATGAGTTGGTTGTGATAGGTATGGTTGTTTTGTATTGTTGCATGTTTGGTTTCCTATTTTTTAAGTGAAGGAAGGGCCAATTTATGAGTCAGTAAGGTGCAGAACTTACCATCGCACCAAGGGTGCCTTCTAGGTGTCGGACATAGCTTTAACTAGGGGATATCTATCTTGCTTATGTTTGGCATAGGATTGGTGGCACCAGGCGTGAGGAGAAAATTATCTTGGGTTGAAATCACGTCAGGCGGGGTTTGAATGACTTCGGATGTAAGGTGAGAGAATTGTCTCGAGTTGGATTGGCGTTGGACATGAGAAGAAAGAATCATCCTGGGTTGATTTGAGGTCGAGCATGAGACTTTACCACACCAAGCATGAGGGCCTAGGGGGCCTCTACTTAATCCACAGCAAACGCGAATTGTATGGTATCAAACGTAAGCAAGTTAGAAGGCTCCCTGCCTTAATGGTGCTAGGCATCAAGTGTGTGGAATTGGGTTCGAATTTCTTTGCAAATACTTGTTATTTATATGATTAAATGGTGAAGATGGATAAGTTAGATGAATTTATTGTATGTTGTACGTTGATTAGTAATATTGTTCTATGTATATTGATTTGGGATGATATATGTAGATGATTGTATGGTTGAATTGTTGAGATGTATTAGAATGCTATGAATTAATAATGTTGTTAGATCTCTATATTCATTGACCTGGGGTAATGGATGTAGATAATGATTGTTGAGGTGTTGATACTAAGAATGTTATAGACATTAAAGCATGTTGATTGACTTAGAACTATAAGAGATTATATTTTTGAAAGTCAAATATCCTAGTGTGTAGATATTGGTGTGGCACTCTAGGAGGCCATTGATTGAAAAACCCTCTTTGAGTAGGTGATAACTCTAGGAGTGGATTGTAGAGTCTCTTCTAGGTCCTTAATCAATGTTGGAGTAAGGTATGAAGTCAAAGACTACAATCCTTAACTAATTACTAGAGAGGTGCATGGTATCATGAGAATAATTAACGAGTTAATTCCATAATTGACTTGATTAATGCATGTCATTGTTGTGGTAAACTCATACCCAAGCTATATGATACTTGATGGTAGTACTGGACTTTCCTAGTTTAAGTGGCGACACTCGAAAAATCATGTAATAGGTATTAATATCTCAATTTAACTATTGATCTAGCAGGCATGTAAGGTGTGGAAATGATTGTTTGGTTTGATAGGGTCAAGTCACTTAGACTGCATAGTTATTGTAAGAGATCTTCGTAAGTGAATGCATGACAATGCATTAGTTGAGATGTATGCATATGATGGTGCTACTTAGTGTCATTCACATGCTTTGGTGATTACATAGTTGTATCGCATGGTTGCGGTGTAAGTTTAATTTTCTTGAGTTGTTTGCTTTTCAAACTTGTTGATGTCATATTGAATGTTGTATGATGGAAGTCATGAGGTACATGTTGGATAGTTTACATGTTTAGGTTGTAGATAGTATAAATGCATTTTCTTCTATACTTATTATATGGTTGTTTCTTTTGAAATCTAACTTATCCTTACATGTTTTTCTGGTGGTTGGACTATGATGATCATCTCTACAAAGGGAGCAAAGCGGGATTAGGTTGGATGTTGATAACTTTTGGAGTCATGCTATTGGTGAGTAGCTTGGTGCTACTATTGATGATAGTATGAAATTTTGTTGTAGTTGCTCGACTGATAATTTAGGACTTTTATTTTACAATTGACAAAGTATTGCATGCACAAGAGCACGCACACACGCATATATATATATCCATAATTAACAAGT